GGCCTGAAATTTATGATCAAGCAAAACTTTACTCTTTAAACTCAAAAGAAAATCAAAAAATACAACATGATCGAAAGAAATTACGAACTTATCAAGTAGGAGATGAAGTAATGTACAAACAATTTCAGGGACCAAAGAAACTGAAGCAAAAATTTAAAGGACCATATAAAGTGATAGAGAAACAAGGAGAAACCACTTATAAAATATTACGAACCGATAAAAAGGAAAAAATGAGACGAGCCCATAGTAATCAACTCAAGCCGTACTTTCATAGAAATTTAATTAATTTAGTAACAATTTTAAGCATACTTACACGAGTAGAGATGCTGGAAATTTCTCCTTTCATTAGTGGTGAACCTATTCTATGGAGAAAGACCAATTATCACCCACGAAAATCAGCTAAAGAAATCTCTGTAATATTGGCATTTTCAAACCTATGTAAAGAGATTCCAATTATTTTAAATACAGATAAAAGAAGACTTGAATTAACCATTTGTGCTGAAAATTACCAATCTTTCCAGATGTGTGAATTAATTCAAAAAATACTAAAAGAATTTGAAAATTATTGTTCATCATTCATAGATAAAAATTACATCGATCCTATCCGTTACATACCGAACATAACAACCAAACCAGAAGAAAATCTAATAAAAATAAGACGAGAAATAATTACAACGGGAACAATAGCTAGCGCAATAGTAGTGGGTGGAGTTGTGATTAGCGGTGTAAACTATTTATATAAACATATATTCACTCCCACCACAGATTTACAGCCAGTACTCGTTTCTATCACAGAATCAAATCAAGAATATAAAAAACTAATAAAAAAACAATTTGATCAATTACTAAGTGTAACCAAACAAGTATCTCAAGTGAACTTTGACTTATCTAAATTACCTCAAGCTTTATCAATAATAACGTTTCAAGCCGCCGAGACTGTAACTCAAGCTAATAACCAACTTAACCAATTAAAACACTTTAATGAAAAATTAGGGAAGCAATACCAAGAATCGATAAGAACTTTCTAAAATTTTTTAAGGTTAATCTTATCTGTGTACCAGAGTGTTCATTGGATGAAATTGAAAATGTTAATGTAAATGTATACAATAACGAAAGATTTCCAACATTGATGATAAATTTTACAACATTTTTACGAGATACAACTAATCAAATATTTCAAGCAGATGCATTTACATTATACAATAAAAATAGTACACACACTTGTAAGGTTACATATAAAGGCCCAGAATATGTATTAGTTAATATTACAGATTATCGGTTTTGTGAGATTAGTGAGAAGGATTTGAAAGGTCACAATCCTATCTTTAAGAAAGTATCAAGTTGTAAAGAAAACTTGAAGAAAATTGAACTTTGGAAGAATGAAGTTTGCTTCAGCAATAGCCCTAATGTTACCACATATGCAGAAACAATTCAAGTTAAACAGATGGGAGAACAATATTTAATTCATTGTGCAGGACACCCGATTACTCTATACAATAATATCAAATATATCTGCCCAAACAGTGTGATTAGATTGTCAAAATGCACTAACTTTACTATTGATGATCTAGAATATACAGTTCATAAATTTCAAATTCTTAGTCAAGGTTCGCCAGTCTCAGAACACACTCACGCAATTAATCTTAGATTAACTCAACCATTATCTCACGAATTGGAAATTGAACCACTCGATTTTACATTAATTGATGAAGCTCAATCAAGAATAGAAAATAGTATAAATAACGTAAAATCAATTGGAAAATAAATATCTCGCAATGGATCTGGATACTATTAGTCATCACACTTAGTTTCCTTACTTGCTTAATTGGTTTAAAATGTATTCCATTTCGAAAGAGATCAATAAATTCAATTGTTGTCGAAAAAAGAAAAGAGAAAGATGAAACACCAGAAACTAGCGTTCCACTACATCAGTGTTACTAAAATTTAGTCGAGCTCCGGTGCTGGGGCAGTAAATTAATTACCCCGGTGATGGGGATAAAAACACAACAGAGACAAATAAATATAATTATTTCCCGGTGATGGGAATTCAATTAACTAAAAATCTTATTATTCAAACTCCGGTGATTTGGGGTAAATGAATAATTTAAGTTTTTCTTTTCTCTTCTCTCTCTTTACAAATAGGATGGCGTCAGGATGGGAAAATAACTATGCAGCTCAAATCCTAAATTAGAAGCATTTCAACAAAAAATGGAAGCAAAACAACGACAAAAGGCAGTTAAAATAGATCGAATTTCATTCACCTCACCATCAGAAGCAATTTTTAGACAATGTTTCCTTGTACTGTCAATATTTGCACCCAAATTCACCAGTTACTTTGGCCATGTTTGGAGACCAGAAATTATTTCACCTGAATATGAGATCAGTGGAACACCGAAGGAGATGAATAAGTACACTAAATTAACAGTAACAGCTAATCACCCTGATAAAATACGAATGGCCCATCATAAACTAAATCAATACACTGAATTATTAAATTATAAAAATAGCAGAAATTCTGCCCATATTCAACTAATTCAAATACCTGAAAATCATTGCTCTTTGTGTTTCCGCTCCGATCATATGAAAATTAATTATCGCTCATACTGCAGTGAACTTGGTCACTTCCGTAAAAATTGTCCCGAGCTTCCTTTCAAAACCGATCATCAGGTCACCATAACCGCCGTTGTAAAATCTAAATCAAAGAAAAATGCTTATGTAAGAGAACAACGAAAACTTCGTCGACGTAAATTACGAGCAGCTTATGGCGGAAAACCTTGGTGGAAAAATTTAAATAACCCAATACCCGAACAATTAGAAAATTATGTACCAATCGGCCCTAAAACAAACAAAAAGGAAACATTAGCTTTGGACATTGAAGGAGATGGTCATGGTGGAGTAGGTAGTGTCCATTTATCCGGTTGGTTTAGCCCAGAAATACGTATCCAAACTGTTTATTATGCCCAGGTGAAAAATCATCATATTGTAAATCCATTAACTCGAATCACTGGACTACAAATCAATGATCAAATCAAATATAATCAAATGATGAACAAAAGGATTAACTTTGGACGAGATTTCAATGCAAGTGGCAGAAATTTCTAGAGGACGACGATTAATAACTCAAGGAAAGAGGACCTACAAAATTACAACTGACACCCGCTCGACTAAGAGTTTATAATATACAACATATTGATCTTCAAGAGTTATGGCCAGGTAAACAACCAATTGGTTTGGTATCGATTGATAAATTCTTATTCTACAAATTTCAAAAGCTACATGAAGATGATTCACACGTCACTATTGGTCATTCCCTGAAAGAGATTCTGAGTAACCCTTAAACATGGAATTACAAAATTAACAGACCACAATATACCCTTCAGCCGAAATTGTACGAGAGATGGTCAAAACGGACAGAACATTTCACATTGGTTATCGGAATTCCAGGATGGACATCATTAATTACTAACACCTTTCATATTTTAATAGTCAATATTTAATGTTAACTAATCCTTAATTAATTATAATAATCTTACTAATTTGTAAATCAACGTGGACGTTGATCTTTCATTACCCGGACGAATTGCAACAAACTGGTTGCCACCATTTTAAATACAAAACCAGGTACCACCTCTCACGTGGTACCTGGTAACTTCTATTGGTTAAATTTTAAGGTGACAAACTCAAAGAAAAGCAAAATTTGGCAATCTTTATTTTGTGAAAATGTCATTTGCTAGATCATCGTGACTTAGTGATGATTAACGTAAATCTCAAGATGAGGTTAATCTTTATCGCCAACTTAAAATGAAAATGTTTCTCAACAAGCAGGAGCCACTATTTCCATCTCCGTGTTTACCATCATTTAAGAGTTCATCTTGTAAAAAATCATCTCGTAAAAACGGTTTTTCTTCAGTGCGTGTACGAACGTGGCACTTAAGGTTCTACATCTGGCTAAACACCTTGTAACAAAATTGGCATTGGTAAATCTTTTTCTCGGACGACGATAAGAACGATGAAGGTTTAGACGGTGGGGTTAAATATGGTAGGTTCGTCCTGTATGTTTATCAAAAAATATTACCTATGATATTAAGCTGTTGAATGTAAAAATTGAATCTTTGCATTACTAGACACACTGAAAACTTTAACTTATGTACTTTCAAGGACATGATAATTACTTTCAATGAAGAAGTATTATTAGAAACATTAAAGAATTGTTTGAAGAAACAATTATGGTTAGTGACTAAGGATGATTAATCAATTGCTAATCTCTCAATTAATCTTGAGTAGCTTGTTATATTGTTATGTTATTTCCGTGTTTACCATCATTTTAGAGTTCATCTTGTAAGGAACCATCTTGTATGGCCAATTCTTTTACAGGAGCACTAGCACTTTCTTAAACTTCTGAATAATCTAATTATCTACCATAACTAACGCCACCGTCTAAACATACAAGTGTTTGTCAGCTCAAAATTTTCACTCAAAGCTGATTTTTTGGCCTAAGGTTTTAGAAACATATTGGTTGGAATTTATTGGGCAACTAATTATGTTTCTCTCTTTCTCAGCTCAGAAGATTAAGCATCTGCCCTTGCTAGTCAACGTTGCGAGTTCGTTACTCGATGATTACACCGAGAAAGAGAGTACAGCACCCGTTAGCTGAATTGACTCCCGTGAGGGATTTAGCCTTCTTAGGTGGTGACATCCAGAAGGGGAGAGTCTCCAAGCGCCGCCTGTGCAATAACAAAACTCATGACAACAAATATAAATTGAAATCTCCCAGCATTCCTCCTCTTTCATCAACAATTCCAATTTGCGCTCCCACTCGCCGAATCCCTTTTACCACCCATCTCTATCCTCCTTCTGATGAAAACAGTTGTTTAAATGTTTAGGTTAAAGGGCAGAGTGGGTCACAGGTAAACCAATTAAACGATAAAAGTCAATATTCAGCAACACTCACGAAATCGGATCATAGTTAATCAATGATAGTAAACTAGATTCAGTTAAATTTCCATATTTCATTTCAATTTTTAGTTTATTGTAAATAAACTTTTATTGAGATAACGATCAAACTATTATCATTATCTCGATTTTCAATGTGAATTCATTACATAATTGATAAGATATCAATTCTATGCGTATTCTCATTTAAAAGTGTAGTCGATCTTAATTTTCGAGGCTGTACATAAGAGTAAATATATTATTGATTCAAGACAATTGATTATCAATCGATTGGATCCACCAAAGTGTTTGAGGCTTTTGTTTCGGTTCAATTTTCCATATGAATTTTTCTCCTCCTTTGTTATATGTTACCTGAGAGATAATGATAATGTAATTGTTACTAAATTTGGTTTCAAATTGTTTGCTACCTGATATAACAGAAGCATCCATATTTAAAAGCTAATTGTAATGGTTGGTAAGGTTATTATGTATAATCAATTATATTGAAACCTTTTACATTAATTTTCACTTTGGCTTTGGTTTTCTCTCCAATGGCTTTATAACATCATCCTTGTTTCTTGTCTTGGTAATTGTTATCCTTTTCTTTTTCCTCTATGATTAGCTTCATTTAAGTTAATTAAACTAATTGTTTCTCAGTCATTTATGTTGATACGGTTTCCATACCGTCACCGCCACACAACCATCACCATTATCATGATCCATATAGCAAAGTAATTTATCATCGAAAACCGTGTAATAAATGCTACAGTAACTTTTAATTCACTTTTACTCCTCTTTGGTCTTTTCTTTCTTCTTTTTCAATTCTTTTTTGCTCTTGCTCCTTCTCCTTTTCTTTTTATCCTTTTGTATTAATTTGTTTTGTGTGTTGGGTTACATTGTACAAAGTATTCATATGGTAACTGGTAATTTCACCTTCTCCTTGTTGGTTTTTTTTTCTCCCTCTGGATAAATGGTTTCAAATATTAATACACAGCTTGAAGTATCTAAAGGAAAAGGTATAACTATAAACAAAAAGAGAATAGAAGATGAAATAGTTATCAAATTGTAATATAATTTATGTAATAAACAATTGGAATTAAAGTGAAGAAAAATAAAAGGAAACAACAAAGGAAACAAGAAAAGAAAAAGAAATCAATTGATTACATGAGAGAACAAAAAATAACAAGAGAGAAAATAAAGAAATTCTATTCTTTTATATTTAGACGAAGATAATTCACTAGGAACCATTGGTTTAATATTCTTCAAATGTCAAATTTTACCTGAAGAAATTGATTGGAGCAAGTAAATTGAGTTAATTACAATTAAAGTTGATTTAGTTAAATGACAAGAACGAAAATGAGTTGATTGATTTTCGAAAAGTGGTGACATCTGTTGGTATCGAATCGAAGCTCTTTAAGAACATGTGATTTTCTTTATAAGAATTTGATTTTTTTTCTTTCAGTTGTTTACCGGTTTTTTATTTATTCTCTGATTATTATTGATTAATTAATTTTCTCTATTGATTTTCTTTGATTGAATTGTATTTTTTCTTTTGTTCAATTTACTCTGTGTGGTGATTAAAGTCTTGCGGTGTTTCAAAAGGGAAAACATATCATGGAGGTTACTAGTTTTGATGATCTTCTTCAAAAAGCTGAGCAACTTCAAGCTCAAGTTGATTTACCTTTTCCTCGGATCGAGCGTAATATTAAACAATTATATGAAGTTGGTCACAATTTATGGACTCGAACTGGTTATCATGCTTCCAGAGATTCTAATGAAGCACGAGCATCGGTACTTCTTGGTTCTAAAGGATATGACCTGCAGAAAGCTAATCAACATTTGGAATCATTGAAAGCAGATTTTTCTACCGTTGAATCATCCAAGATTAGTGATATCCATGGATTTTTAAAGAATGAGAGAGAAAATGCTGTTCTTTCATCTATTGAGGAGGTAAAAAAGGCTACCTTTGAAATTGTCGATGGTAAATGTTGGTCTAAAACCGCCAAAGATTGGGAAGATCAAAAAATGTCCATTTTAACCAATCTTGTTGGAGATGAAAATGACTCATCTGATGTTACCATGGCTAATCTTTCATCTAGATTAGTTACCACTCCAAGGATTAAAATGAGAGATCTTACCTCTAGATTGACCACCAGAGATGTTGCCAATTATACACCAATTTTAGAGCTTATAAAAAAATCTCCAACTGACCAAAATTTATCAACCTTGTCCAGTGCTTTGAGAGAGCATAAAGATTTCGAGACTGTGTTGGGTTATAAAACTGTTGATGGTAATAGAGTAACTGGATTAATTGATCAATATCATCCTGATCCAATGAAACTAATCCGACGTGTTGCTGCTGATTGTGAGGAGACTGGATTGATTGAAGAAGCCATCAAATTATATGATTTATCTCAAGATGATGAGAAATGTTTGGATTTACTAATTAAATATTTAACACCCTTAGTGCCTAAGAAAAAAGTACCAAATGAATTGAGGGACAAATTGGAACCATTAGCAATTAATATCGCTGAAAGGTATCACAATTATGGTTACGATGCCAAACCAGAAATGGTTTCAGTTTTTCATTTACTATTAGATTTGATGGCATTTTTTGACAATTACCATAAATTATCACTCGATGATGCTATGGAGGTTAGTATTTAATTTAGATTATCTATTGTTACACCAGTTTTAATTTGATTGTTTGCCTTTTCTCATTTACAGATAATTGAAAAACTCAACATTCTACCATTTAAAATTGAACAAGTCGATGCCAAAGCCAATGAATTTTCCTCATATGCTGATGAGATTCGCCAATTAATTCCAGACATTTTAGTTGCCACCATGAATATACTTCACACTCAATATAAGAAGATCAAGTAATTTCCCTTGAGAATAATTAGATGAAATTAATTAACTAAAATAATTTTTCATTTTCTCTTTTTTTTCCTACAGATCAATCGCTCCATTGACATCTAGTAAATTTGGTGTATTAGTTGAAGCAAATGAAAAAGAGGGAGTAAGTTTTGTTTTCTAATTTTCCCTGAATAATTGATCACAATTAACATTTTACAGCAACAATTGTATTAATGATTAATATTTTCTCTTAATTAGCTTCTTACATCTCTTAAATCAAAAGCTCGTCTTTTGATCACCTATGCTGGTATGATTCCTTACCGAATGCCTGGTGACATTAATGCTCGTCTCGTTCAATTGGAAGTCACAATGAATTAAATCAATTAATCTCTCCTCATTTCTATTCATCACAATACAATTAACGTCTTTTTTTCTCTCTCACTAATAAAGTTAACATCAAAGAAAAACAAATTGCCAATAAATTATTACTTCATTTGCATAATCAATGTCACTGGTCAAATAAAATTGTAACTGCTTTAATTAGCCACTTTTTTACTTTTGCAATTTGAGTTAATTAATATTAATCTAAATTAGCGAATAAGAGATTTTACCGAGTTAATTTCACTTTTACTTTAGTTCCATAAATTAACTTGACACACCAAATATCACAAAGAATCACAAATTGTTAATCAATTATCGGTTTCTTGAAAAATAGATGATTAAGGTAAGAGCTTTTGGCATGCAATTAACTGATGGTGGAAAATGTTGAGTTAATTGTAATAGAATTAAAAATCCTTATTCAATTGTTCCAATTTATCGAGATCATTGGCATCGAGCATGGATATTTCTCTTCCATAATGTTGTTCCAATTTCTTAACCATATCTAATGTTCGTTGTGAATCAACCATGTTAATCGCGAGTCCAGATTTTCCAAATCTTCCTGTTCTTCCAATTCGATGTAAATATGTTTCGAAATCAATATCTCGTGTAGAAACATCAATAGGTAAATCGTAGTTAATCACAACGGTAACCTGATCAACATCAATTCCACGGGCCATCAGATTGGTTGAGATTAAAACTCTTTCAACACCATCTCGGAATCTATTGATTACTTCAGTTCTTTCCTCGACCGTTAAATCACCGGTAATCAATCCAACCGAATGTCCATCTCGTCTCAATTTCTCAGCCAACCAACCGGCAGATTTTTTGGTCTGACAGAAGATAAAAACGGAACCAATACAAAGAGTACCAAAAAGATTCGCCAAAGCTTTGTACTTGTCAACATCCGTATTACAAAGGACGTAAAATTGTTCAATATTTTCAAGACTTTCTTCCTCTTTTTTCAATCTAATAATAACGGGATTTTGAACTATCTGTTCAGCAAATTCCATTACGGCAGCATCATAGGTTGCAGAGAAGAACATTATCTGACAATTTGGTGAGAGACCATTTTTAATTCTGATAGATTGATTTCTATGCCCTTGGGTGTCTATCATTACATCGGCTTCATCAAGAACCAATACTCTTATTTTACGAATATCAAATGACCGGTAGCGAAGACCAGCATCCATCACTTTACCGGGTGTTCCCAAAAGCACTTGTTCAGTGATAGGATTATCTCTGTTTAATTCAACTCCACGAACAACATATTTAAATTTGATTGACTTTTTATGTTTAGCCATAAATTCAGCAACTTGACCCGTTTGTAAAGCTAACTCATAGGTTGGTGATAAAATTAATACTTGAGGATAACCCAAATTTTCATCAACACGAGCTAAAGATGATAAAAGGAAGGCTGCTGTTTTACCAGTACCCGATTGTGATTGAGCGATTATATTAGTCGGAGGATCTGAAAGTAAAATGGGTAAAACTGTTTCCTGAATTTTACTCGGTTTAGAAAATCCCATCTCATATATTCCCCGGAGAAGTTGTTCTGGTCTGTAAATGAGAAGAAAATGACAGAGATCAATTAGAGAATAAATTTTGTTCTCTCTTCCAAGAGAAAATTCAATAAACGATGGACAAAAATATTACTTACAAATTGAGTTCTTCAAATGTTTTCACAGAATGTAAAGGAGAATTTGGATTAGCTCGAACTATTTCAACTTCATTACTTTTAGACTCTAAAATTCTGGATCTTGTCAATTTCCTCATTAAGCTGAGTGTCGCTGCGTCAACGGTTTCATCATTGTCATCCCTTGGTTCTTCAGGATTATCAGAAGCCTATAAACAAATATAAACAAATGAGAATTAAAAGTCACAATCAAAATTAATCTCGAAAAGAGATGATTAAATTTTCCCAAAGGAAAAAACAACAAAGGCATGAGGAGAAATAATTTTTCAAAAGGTAATTTACTTCATTGTTCAATTCGTTTGTCGGTTGTTGAGAGTCACCGCCGTCAGCCATAGTTTACAATGATAGTTGATTAAAGTAAACAATTAAAATAACAAAAGGTAAATTAATTAGAAAACAATAAGATGAAATTAAATTTGAAACAACAAATCAACTCATGGGTTTGATTAAACTCGGTAATCATTACGCTCGGTTATTCAATCCGCCGGGAAAAGATCAATTCGGTAACCGGATTAGTCTTTTGTTTATCTTTTGATTTGATTTGGGAAGAAAAGAGAATGGAAATTAATTAGTAATTAATTCACCCAATTCAATCGAGTGACCTGATGGAATTAAAGTAAATTCGATGGATTAAGATAATCTGTCTATTGTTTAGAAAAGAAAAGAATTAATTGGTTTTCTATCTGATAGAAAATATCGGATCTCTATTTGTTTAACTGATTCTCTTTCTTGAATTTTTGTTTTTGTGATTGAATTTTTAACTTTCATCTTGGTTTTTTTTTATTTTAATTGTTCTAATTAATTCTTATTGTTTTATCTTATCGTTTTCTCTTTATACCATTGATCTACAATGGAATTGAGTAAAAATAAACGCTATCGATTTATTCGTGATGATAGATTCCATATATTTGCCGATATTAGTATGTAAGTGAAAATTTTGTTTTCTATCTTAAGATTTGGATTTTAACCTTTTTTTTCAACATTTTTTTCTTTTATTAATATTTTTTCTTCTTCTTTTGTTTTCTTTTTCACTTGATACAGTGAAACTCAGCTTAAAAAGCTTGATATTTGCCCTAGGAATCTTAAACTAATGCTTATCTCTTTCATGAAAGACGCTTTTGGTGATTATGGTGTCTCAATTCCTATAGATGTAATGAGTTTCTCGAATAAAGATTGTCGAGCATTCATTAGATTTCCAGCAAGGTAACATTTCTACATAAATTATATTCTAAACATTATGATAAACTTATTGTTTTCTCTGTCTCTTCCTTATTAGGGACAGTGTTAGAGTTCAAAGTGCTTTGGCCTTAGCACATACTTGGGAAAACCGATCAATCCATATAATGATTCATAAGATTTCACATGCAATCTCATCTCTATGTTTAAACTCACACGATCAAGCTCATCAAATAGCTGATAAATGGAATTGACGTTTAGCTTAAGAAATTAGTCCGATAAACCAACAAACAAACAAACAAACTCTATACATATTTAAATTAATAACTAATCAAATACACAAATGAACACAAACAAAAAGCAATCAACAAATTTTTCTAACCAACACAAGAAGAAAAAAATCTCTAACCTTGTAAATCATTGGAAATCTTTTCTTTTTTTTATCATCATAATTCTAACAATTAAGCCTCTGGACAATAAACTCGTGCAACGTACAAAAAACAAACAATTAAAAAAAGATAAAAATTGAAACAATACAAAACAAGAGCAAAAATAATCAAATGTTTTCATTTAAGAAATTAAGTTAATCGATTCAAATGTTACCGCCATTCGAATTCGATTCCTTCTCAGTAACTCCACCTGGTGGAAGTTTGAAGGTCGCCATTTTGAGAAAATTTGATCGCCTTATTTTTAGAGTGAAAATAATTTTCTTAATATTTGTGGTCAATTATTTGTATTAATTTTGTGTATTATTAACTTTGTGGTATTTTAATTGCTTGCATTTAGTTGTGTTCCTTTTGATTCTGATTTACATGTTTAGTCTGTATTGTTAACAAAATTGTTTAGTGGTGATTAAAGATGCCAAGATACGACGACAGCCCGAGAGACCGGAGCCCAATTGATTCTCGCCGTGATCGGAATAGAATCAAATCACCATCTGAACAAAGGAGACGTGGACGTGATTCACCTGTTAATGTTTCTTCTAGAAGTGGTAGTGTTCGTGATCCATATGATGATTATTCAACATCTTCTTCTAGGGTTAAACCTGAACGTGAACCAGCGGCTTATAAAATATTGTGTATCTCCAATTTAAATGCTAAAGTAGGTGATACCACTGTAAAGGAAGCTCTTAGTAGAGAGTTTAGCCGGTTTGGTGATGTTTCTGTAAAGGTGTGTCATGATGACAATGATAGGTTTGCTTACATTTACTTCCGTTCTTATGAGGAGGCAAGAGAAGCTCGACACAATAAACCAAGATTACATCTATTTGACAAGGCTGTTGAAATTGAACCGATCTATGATCATCATCGAAGTAGCATGTTGAATTCAAGTAGCAGTAGCATTAGTGGAAGAAGGAGAAGTGTCTCACCAGCATACACCTCTACCCGTAGTGCCCGAGGTCCACCTGCAAGCCCACCTCCAAATAATAGACGACCACCACCACCTCCACCTCCACTGCCTCTCCAATCTCGAAATAATGTAGATAAAAATGCCAGTAACAGTGGTAATAGCAATCAACAGTATTCTAGACCAACACATAGACCTTCAACCAGTTCTAGTAGTGATTATCATCACCAAAGTCGTCCCACCGGTAAGTTTTTCTTCTCTCATATTTTTTCAAAATTTTTAATCTTTATAAATCATTTTTTTCTGTTCTCATTTTTGTACATTTTAGGTACTACTAATAGACAAACTCATCGAGAGTCCAAAAAGGAAAAATTTCCCAATTACTTGCATCACATTCCTCCGGAAGATGATGATAAAGCAACGAACATTATTTGTTGGAAATCTTGAAGTAACAATCTCTGAACCCGATTTGAGACGTATTTTTGAACGATATGGTGTCGTTGAAGATATTGATGTAAAAAGACCTCCTCCTGGACAAGGAAATGCTTATGCTTTTATTAAATTCTTGAATCTTGATATGGCTCATCGAGCTAAAGTTGAAATGTCAGGTCAATATATTGGAAAATTTCAGTGTAAAATAGGTTATGGTAAAGCAACTCCTACTCCTAGAATTTGGGTTGGAGGCTTGGGATCATGGACATCGCTCTCTCAACTTGAAAGGAATTTGATAGATTTGGTTCTATTCGTAAAATTGATTTCGTAAAGGAAACACCCATGCTTACTTACAATTTGATAGCATCGATGCTGCAACTGCGGCTTGTCAAGAAATGCGAGGGCATGCATTAGGTGGACCTGACAAGCGGCTTAGGGTTGA